TCCTTAACTCTTAACACAAATTACAGGCATAATATGTAAGGTAGCATACACCCTTAACTCTAACGCATATCACAGGCATAATTTGTAAGGTGACATACATCCTTAACTCTAACACAAGTTACAGGCATAATATGTAAGGTAGCATACACCCTTAACTCTAATGCATATGTGTAAGGTAACATACATCCTTAACTCTAACAAAAAATACAGGTATACTGTGTAAGATAGTATATCCACAGTATTGACAGTAAATATTTTAGTGACAGGTACATTTATCAGATAGTAACAAGAATTAAAACTGATAACTTTGTATTCTATAATGATCACTGAAGTATATTTAGACGTGTTATTTACAGTAAACAGATGTTTCTATTCATCCAGTAACTATAAATAGATCGGAATGGTGTTCTAGATAAACAATTTATCAGATTCTGTCAACGTTGACATTCAACAAGCAGTTGTTGACAAGACATATGATTGTGTATCCAGTCCGACTCTTTTATCCACTGGACTTCAATTTTCCCATTTTTTTCGTTTCAATCTGTCCTGGCCAAGTGACTGACTATCAACCACATGAGATATCCGAGTCTGTGGGAATAAATTAGGTCACTGAAGGTAAAGAACTTACCTGTTAATTGTGTTACCTGAGCCAAGTATTTCTCAAAGACAGCTCTGCCTCTATTCAGGCAGGTTAACACCAAGTGTGGGTGTTTTACCCTGATCAAATGACACGTTGATACACTTTGCTTACACAGTATGTGAACAGATAAGGTTGAAGTTTGGCAAAAAGTAGTTTTATTTTTGGTATGACTGCTGGAGTTGAGGAAAAAGACATATTTTTTACTTTAAAATGATGAAAAAATACAGTAAAATAACCATCCTTTTTTTCAAATACATGTCAGTGTTAAATTTTTCTTCTATAATTCTATATATTTTACGGTAAAATAGGTACAAAAATAAACGGAATATATTTATGCAATACGATTAATATCAATTTTACTTGGCACATGTATAACTGATCATAGGTTATTTGGACAAAAACAAATGTAGGTACTGGACGTACTACTTATTTAAATGGTTCTTATTTTCAAGTATTCTTAATTTTTTAGATTACCAATCCTGTACAAAGTAGAAAGAGTGATTGCTCAGGTCTGGTACGGCTCCATAGGACTTGAAATTTAAACGTTTTATGCAAGTCCACCGTAAACACATGAATGTGAACAATTCAACTTCAACTGGTCTTAACTCATTCATCCCTGAAATTTCATAATGAACTATTCCAACCTTTGAACTGGAAGAGTTCAAATGTGTCTGCAGGGGTGAATTAGTTAAACATTTTAGTCTGCCTTTTTTGACAAGACTCACATGAAAGGATACATCGTATCATCAATTTCATGGATGAACAGAAAGTTAAGTTCTTCTGATCATTTTAACCTGTATGTAATATATACCTGCGTTTCATCTATTAGGTACGAAAAATACCGATGCCTCCTGTACCTAGGCAAATACCTGTAATTATGAACATAATCAGATCCAAACAATGTTTTTCTTTAGTGAACTATTTACCTGTACTCAGAAGTTAAACTCCATGTTTCGTTCTCCGTGTAATAATTTAAGTTCTACTGGTCCCATAAAGCCACATCATATCTATTTTGCAAACCTCAAGACCTAATTATGTCTGAGTGGACAGGTTTACATAATGTCATGATTCTCTTGAATGTACGCATTTCACTTCCGTATAAGACTGAGGATTGTCAACGAAGTCGGCTGCTGAAGTCAGAGGTATGGTCTACTGGTGTGTTCAGTCAGGTAGATCCATCCCAGACATCAGTTGTAGGTCGCGGTATAGAAGTATAATCAGATCACCAAGCTTTGTGAAGCATTGTTAGCTTTACCAAAAATAACAGTAATTAAAACTCCAATAACACTTGCTTGTTAATGTCACTCCATGAAATTTATTTCTATAATAACTTAATTCAAGGAAAATTGTCCAGAGCTAGATCATGATTTCAGGTAAACTCTAAATGTCAAGTGAAACACCTTGCCTTAAAGCAAACACAAGCACAGGGTAAAACAAATACGAAAAGATTAGTCAGCTTCGCAACATTTATCAAAACCTATTTCTTGTAGGAAAACTCCAAAACATCAGCATTTTTTCTACAGAGATAAGATTTGTATGGACACTAAAACACAAGGCAGAAAGCAAACGCCTCAGAAACCCAGGAAAATATTTCACAGATCGCAAATTGACTTTTACTTTTTCATTAAGCATATCAGTGTTTGCTCAAACAAGCTGTTAAGTTATAACTTAGGTACATTTCACAATTCCACCTGTTAACCCCTTTAATACATGATAGACTTTATTGTCATATCGGGTGGGTCGTCCTACTTTTGCACCATTTTAGGGATGGACAGGTTAAGTTCATGTGACCTAATATTGTTTATTTATGCTAAGAAGCTGATTTTTTTGGGGGAAGGTTTTCTTTCTGATAGGCAAATATTCTGTGAGAGCTATGAGTACAGGGATATTAATACAGTAATATGCCATGTTAGCCTCTGGTACGAGTCACGATTGTTTACCTACATATCATGTCGCAGTCTAGACGTCAACAGGGAGAGACTGACGACGCCCACTAAGTCATCCAAAACTATGTCCCCCACTCACCACCATTCTATTTCATTGCACAATTAACATATAGAAGTTAAACATTAAACGATTAAACGATATTCTGATATTGGTCATTTAACTTGAGAAATTTTAAAATATATAGGTATGGTCTGTTCAAAATATATTTGACCAATTAAAACATTAGTTGTATCTAAGACTGATGGCTTCTGATAAAGACAATTAGTCTTTTAGGAAAAATGATACAGGCTCTCAGCCTATCAGGTGCTCAGCCTCTCAGGCTCTCAGCCTCTCAGGCTCTCGGGCACATTTTAACCTTAAAAAAATAGATTTTTTTTAAATGTATAAAGGCCTGAGACGACCTCGAATGAATCCTATATTCTGACATACTGTTTCAATCGAGAAACATCCCTTGGTAAACAGGAAGTCTGTCCCTACAGTGAAACATCCCCTGGTAAACAGGAAGTCCGCCCCTACAGTGAGACATCACTAGGTAAACAGAAAGTCTGTCCCTACACTGAGATGTCCCCTGGTAAACAGGAAGTCTGTTCCTACACTGAGATATCCCCTGGTTAACAGGAAGTCTGTCACTACACTGAGACATTCCCTAGGTAAACAGAAAGTCTGTCACTACACTGAGACATCCCCTAGTAAACAGGAAGTCTGTCACTACACTGAGACATCCCCTGGTAAACAGAAAGTCTGTCCCTACACTGAGACATCCCCTGGTAAATAGGAAGTCTGTTACTACACTGAGACATCCCCTGGTAAAAATGAAGTCTGTCACTACACTGAGACATCCCCTGGTAAACAGGACGTCTGTTACTACACTGAGATATCCCCTGGTAAACAGGATGTCCGCCCCTACAGTGAGACATCACTAGGTAAACAGAAAGTCTGTCCCTACACTGAGATATCCCCTGGTAAACAGATAGTCTGTCACTACACTGAGACATCCCCTGGTAAACAGGATGTCCGCCCCTACACTGAGACATCCCCTGGTAAACAGAAAGTCTGTCCCTACACTGAGATATCCCCTGGTAAACAGGAAGTCTGTCCCTACACTGAGATATCCCCTGGTAAACAGATAGTCTGTCACTACCCTGAGACATCCCCTGGTAAACAGGATGTCCGCCCCTACACTGAGACATCCCCTGGTAACCAGAAAGTCTGTCCCTACACTGAGATATCCCCTGGTAAACAGGAAGTCTGTCACAACACTGAGACATCCCCTGGTAAAAAGGAAGTCTGTCACTACACTGAGACATCCCCTGGTAAACAGGACCTCTGTGTCCCTACACTGAGACATCCCTTGGTAAACAGGAAGTCTGTCACTACACTGAGACATCCCCTGGTAAACAGGAAGTCCGCCCCTACAGTGAGATATCACTAGGTAAACAGAAAGTCTGTCCCTACACTGAGATATCCCCTGGTAAACAGAAAGTCTGTTCATACACTGAGATATCCCCTGGTAAACAGAAAGTCTGTCCCTACACTGAGATATTCCCTGGTAAACAGGAAGTCTGTCCCTACACTGAGACATCCCCTGGTAAACAGGAAGTCTGTCCCTACACTGAGATATCCCCTGGTAAACAGGAAGTCTGTCCATACACTGAGACATCCCCTGGTAAACAGGAAGTCTGTCCCTACACTGAGATATCCCCTAGGTAAACAGAAAGTCTGTCACTACACTGAGATATCCCTGGTAATCAGGAAGTCTGTCCCTACAGTGAGACATCCCCTGGTAAACAGGATCCCTGTCCCTACACTGAGATATCCCTAGGTAAACAGGAAGTCTGTCCCTACACTGAGATATCCCCTGGTAAACAGGAAGTCTGTCCATACACTGAGACATCCCCTGGTAAACAGGAAGTCTGTTCCTACAGTGAGATATCCCCTGGTAAACAGGAAGTCTGTCCCTACACTGAGATATCCCCTGGTAAACAGGAAGTCTGTCCCTACACTGAGATATCCCCTGGTAAACAGGAAGTCTGTCCATACACTGAGACATCCCCTGGTAAACAGGAAGTCTGTCCCTACATTGAGATATCCCCTGGTAAACAGGAATCTGTCCCTACACTGAGATATCCCCTGGTAAACAGGAAGTCTGTCCATACACTGAGACATCCCCTGGTAAACAGGAAGGCTGTCCCTACAGTGAGACATCCCCTGGTAAACAGGAAGTCTGTTCCTACACTGAGATATCCCCTGGTAAACAGGAGGTCTGTCCCTACACTGAGATATCCCCTGGTAAACAGGAAGTCTGTTTACATACTCAGAGAACTTTTTACTACATCCAGACACACTGAGATCTATCACTGGTCAATATAACCTTTGACCTGTCTATCACTTGATCATAGACTACGTTACTGACCTCTGGAGCCATCCAATATGGTGTTCCCACTGAGGTACGCCGGCGGTCATTTGTGCTCTTCAGTGTCGTTGATACGCCTGTAAAACATAACAGTATGGTCATAATTCATCACACAAAAGTACATACTTTAGATGTTATTTGGGCGAAGGGGGTATTAAGTTATTAGAAAAGGGGTTAAAAGTCTGACCTATGTTGGAAGAGAGACAAAGTTTCCCTCATGGCGGTCAATTCAGATTTCAATTGCCACCGCTATGTAAACTTTATACTTTTATGAATCAAACATTAAATATTGTGTTTTTTGTATCGCGTACACTGAGGGACAACATGGCTCCCACAGACCAGTCCACTCAGGCAGGAGCTACGTCTGATCAAAGCGACCAAACTTGTCCTAGTTCTGCGTCACGGACTGTGTTACAAGTCGGTGTGTTGTACCAATGTAAATCATAACTGTACTTCATTAACTTATAATGCTTAAAAGCTCCAAGTGAAATGGATTATCACTCATTTCAAAATAAATATAGGGGTATGTATATGCAGTGTTTGTTTCACATGTATAAATAGATGAACATTTTACTGCACATGTCCTACATTTGGCCGTCCTACTGAATCTACCCCGTTGTATCGCCACCCCCGTTATACCGCCAAAATTGTCACTGGGCGACAGGTGGCAGTATAACTGGGGACTACTGTATATGTGAATACATCTGAGGCATAGATAGTTGAAAGAACCATATCTATATTACATACTTGCCAATTTTTTAAATTTTCACGCAGAGATTCTGCATGCTCAAAACTAGAACATAGATATAATGTGCGTATTACCCCCTAGAGACAAAACAACCCTAAAATGACATATTTTGAGTTGTTCTTTCCGATGAAATCAATAGATCTAAGAATATAGGAATAGTTTAACAATTTCACTGGTTGAAAATACTAAGTGTAAGGGTCCGAAATCAGGAGTCTCACTCATAAATAGGGAGGGTTGTCAAGTATGACATTGTGAAAGTTCCTGTATATAACATAGTGTCAATAACAGATGTCAACTGATTCTGAAGCAGTTAACAAAACAACAAGCAAAATCGTGGAATTTATATCTCCCGCTTGCAGGACATATTGTAGGTTAACATTATCGAAGTTAGGTTTAAACATGCGAGTATCGTGCTGTTGAAACATTATGTATAGCTTGAAACTTGAAAAAAAAAGCCTTATCTAACATTTGCCAATGTTATTAAGCGGAAACTGCAGATAATGACTCTGCCAAATGGAGTCCGATTAAAGTGGTTGTCAAACTTGGCTGAGCCCTGAATGCGTTGAACCCTGTTACTAAGTTTGAAGACAATCGGATACTATTTGCAAGAGTTAATTAACAGAAACGGAAGATAATGACATTTTTCGTTATTCAAGGGGCCATAACTCTGCCAAATGGGGTCCCCTGAAAGTGGTCAACAAACTTGGTCGAGCCCTTAAGACATTTAACCCTGGTACCAAGTTTGAAGAAAATCAGGTAAACATTTGTTGTAGTTATTGCATGGAAACGAAACGCAGCAGATAATGGCGTTTTTCATTATTCAAGGGGCCATAACTCCGTCAAATGGGGTCCCCTGAAAGTGGTCAACAAACTTGGCCGAGTCCTTAAGGCATTTCACCCTGTGATCAAGATTAAAGAAAATGGGTTAACATTTGTTGTAGTTATTGCACGGAAACGATGAGCAGCAGATAATGATGTTTTTCATTATTCAAGGGGGCATAACTCCACCAAATGGGGTCCGCTGAAAGTGGTCATCGAACTTGGTCGAGCCCTTAAGACATTCACAGACAGACAGACAGATAGACAGACAGACAGATGGACAAACCCAAATTAATATCCCCCGTTTCGGTGAAAGCGGGGGATAATAATAATATTCAGAGAAATGTGTTTCATGTTACGAATGGATGAAAAATTTAAATACTTTGACATTTTGTTTTCATCTTAATTCCAACTTACCAAAGTCTATGAGTTTAACTTTGCCCTCGTCTGTGATAAGGATGTTGTGGCCTTTGATGTCGCGGTGAATGATATGATTGGTGTGAAGATGAACGAGAACTTTTAATGTTTCACCGAGGATGTGAGCTATGAGCTTTTCATCCATGGCAGACTTTTGTTTCATGAGTTCTCTAGTCAGATGTGTCACAGAGCCTCGCCCACATAGCTGTAATGAATATTCATCATATATCAGACACACTTAAATACTGTTTCCATGAATCAATATAAATAATGCATCTTTAACATTTATATAAAGTTTTAATGAATATTCATTATACATATAATATATTTATATAATTTTCATGAATATTCATTATACATCTAATACATTTATGTTGTTTTCATGAATATTCATAAGCCATCAAAAAATTTTATATCGTTTTAATGATATTTATTATACATCTAAACATTTATATCGTGTTAGTGAATATTCATTATACATCTAAACATTTATATCGTTTTAATGAATATTCATTATACATCTAATACATTTATATCGTTTTAGTGAATATTCATTATACATCTAAACATTTATATCGTTTTAATGAATATTCATTATACATCTAATTCATTTATGTTGTTTTCAAGAATATTCATGACATTGAAAACATTTATAGTTTTAATGAATATTAATTGTACACCCGATATGTGTATACAGCTGTTTTATGAATATTCATTGTACCCCAGATATGTGTATATAGCTGGTTTATGAATATTCATTATACCCCAGATATGTGTATATAGCTGTTTAATGAATATTCATTGTACCCCAGATATGTGTATATAGCTGTTTAATGAATATTCATTGAACCCCAGATATGTGTATATATACAGCTGTTTAATGAATATTCAATTAACATCAAACATGTTCATATATATAATTAATATACATCACACATCAGGCACATTCATATAACTTTAATGAATATTCATTATACATAAAACATACAATGTTATAATGTTCATGTTGGTAAAAATGTTATAATTCTCATGTAGTACAAATGTTATAATGTTCATGCTGGTATAAATGTTATAATGTTCATGCTGATATTAATGTTATAATGTTCATGTTAGTATAAATGTTATAATTCTCATGTATTATAGATGTTATAATGTTCATGCTGGTATTAATGTTATAACGTTCATGTTGGTATACAGGTAAATGTTATAATGTTCATGCTGGTATAAATGTTATAATTTTCATGTTGGTAAAAATGTTATAATTCTCATGTAGTACAAATGTTATAATGTTCATGCTGGTATTAATGATATAATGTTCATGCTGATATTAATGTTATAATGTTAATGCTGGTATAAATGTTATAATGTTCATGCTGATATTAATGTTATAATGTTCATGTTGGTAAAAATTTTATAATTCTCATGTAGTACAAATGTTATAATGCTCATGCTGGTATTAATGTTATAATGTTCATGCTGATATTAATGTATAATGTTCATGCTGGTATAAATGTTATAATGTTCATGCTGGTATAAATGTTATAATGTTTATGTTGGTATAAATGTTATAATGTTCATGCTGATATTAATGTTATAATGTTCATGCTGGTATAAATGTTATAATGTTCATGCTGGTATAATGTTATAATGTTCATGCTGGTATATAATGTAAATGTTATAATGTTCATGCTGGTATAAATGTTATAATTCTCCTGTAGTACAAATGTTATAATGTTCATGTTGGTATACATGTAATAATGTTCATGCTGGTATAAATGTTCTATGTATTAATGTTATAATGTTCATGCTGGTATTAATGTCATAATGTTCATGCTGGTATTAATGTTATAATGTTCATGTTGGTATAAATGCAGACTGATATGAAGTTTGATGACTGTTCCAGTTCTAGTATAAGAATAATTAAGCAAACTGCAAAGTCTGACCAATTTTTGCAGGAACAGACTGACGTAGGAGGCAAACACTTAACACCAATCCCATTACGTGTCGGAAATATGAAAAAATGCCACATCTCACCTCCATAGCAATCCATAGTTGATCCTCCCCCCGGAACTCTGACTGGCGGAGGTAGATTCCATGGAACTTCGGCATGTTGGGATGGTTTCCCAGGTCACGAAGGATGACATATTCCTCTTCAATCTCTTCAATTAGTTCATGAATCGCTTCAAGAATTTTCACAGCCACAATCTCACCTGGGGAAGATATTTTTACACAGTATTATTTGTATCAAATCAAAACTTTCCTTATTAAGATTTTAAAATAAAGAGGAAACTGAACAAAGTATATTTGGAGCTTATAATGATGGACTAAGAAACCTGTCTAATCCGGCTTTTTGTGAGATGCAACAAGTTGTTTGAATAAAACTAGGTGTCAGATTATCAGCTTAGGTAGTTTTAATGAGAAAGGTGACTACAGCCGTGTGTCAAGTATTGTAATAACAAGTATCTAAACGGTGCAAGGAAAATAATCATCCCCTATCTGGAGGATATAACAGAGAAATCCTCACCCCTCGGGGAGATTGGAAATTTCTCCGTCACATTGTCAAGGTAGGGGAAGGTTCTATTAACCATTGTTAGATAACATTGCCTCGTTTATCATACCAACCATCAGAAAAAAAATTGTAGTATATCAGAAATCTTTTTCCAAGTATAATGGTGTAGCTAATTGTAGGCATTTATATATAATTACCTATACACATAAATCTCTTAATAAAACAATTGTTGTTTTTCTTTCTGATTGTTAATTCATTGTCTTATCTCATTCACCCCTGAAGACACATTTGAACTCTTCCAAATCAAATGTTGGAATAGTTCATTATGAAATTTCAGGGGTGAATGAGTTAAGCTCACGTAAATTTCCTATGATATCTATATGTGTGTGTTGCTAAATAATTATTTCCCATTTCCTGGAAAATCATTTATAACCCCTCACCGAGCTATCAAATTTCTCTTTAGTACATCAAATTTAATCTGGAACCGTTGACCATAAACAAGAAAATTCAAAAACTACTTTTTAATTTCCTCGTTTACATAAAGTGCTGACAGTTCTCAATTGATGTTAAAGTTATCAGCCACGTTGTTCTGTCACATATCAGTATTCAAAATCCCTTAAAATCATTTTCTGTTGGACGGAGGGGGTACTGCCCCCTAGGACCCTACCATGGCTCCGCCCCGGACATGCTGGAGGAGTACGACAAACCCCTCACCGTAAAGTTTGTCCACACATCGAATGAATTCCATCTCAGCACCTAATGATTGTTACTAACAAGAATTCCACAGGAGTGGATGTGTCGCCTGCTCAGCCCTTTTAGTAAACTCGACAGAAAAACCCATAATATATGTTGAACATTATTGCTTCTAGCATTAGCATACAAAATTTGAAAGGAATTGATTGAAAAATCAAAAACATCTTGCATTTAATACACAATGTCCTTATTTGGCAATAAAAGAGCATGACTCCACCACAAATGTGAACTCCTCTGAGCTGTATTGGTATGCAGTATGTGTACCAAGTTTGAGTTCAATCAACCCAAGGGAACTCAAGTTATCGCACGCAAACATGTTTCGGACGACGCAACAGCCAACAACGACGCCAACAAAGTAGTACCTATACGTCGCCTCGCGTTGCAGGCGGCACAAAAAATGGGATAATAGGCCTCCTTGTTGGTTTGGCGTTTCACTTTACATGATGACGTATTGTAGGATATTGTATCAACACCAAACAAAGTAATCCTAAATTCTGTTGATATGAGTACGGGAAGATATCATTAAAGTGAATACTGTCCTGCTGTTAATTGCAGCCTCCCATTAGTTGCCATTACACAGTAATTCTTGTGTTTGAACATATTTCACAAATATTCCACAGAGATTATTTACTCAAATCCAACTGATTGCTGGCTCAGCCATTCCTTGTAACACTGTCCCACATTATCACAAAACACGCTGATTTTCATCCCCATACACACAGATACGACAATAATTAATCAACTGATTTTTTAATGTTTCAACAATTGAATTGCCATCAAATAGAGGTTTGAATCACTTAGTAGGAAATATGATAACAAAAGACCTGTACAATTGTTTACCTAGAGACAGAACGATACCGAGTCAGCTTTCTGCCCCTTGATTCCTTCCTTCCGTATCAGTTTGGTTTGGTTTGGTTTGGTTTGTTTGTGTTTTACGTCCTAGATAACTAGATAAAGTTGACTGCACGCCAAGAACGATAAGAATATATTTTGGACATCGAGCCATTCCCCCATAAACATGAGAATCATTGTATGTTATCTACTGTTACAGTGTTGGATTTCAGACTGGTTAAAACTGGTTTGATGACCAGAACCATCGGAATATATTTTCTATATCGAGACGTTTTCCTGTAACATGAGAATCATTGTATATATGTTATCTACTATAACAGATTTTGTTTGCAGACATGTTGAAGCTGATTTTATGCCCAGAACCAAAGGGCTGCGGTGGCCAAGTGGTTTAGGCGTCCGACATTCTGCTACCACTATAGCCCTCCACTACTGGGTTGCAGGTTCGAGACCTACATAGGGCAGTCTACAGGTACTGGCCACAGGCCGGTGGTTTTTCTACAGGAACTCAGGCTTTCCTCCACCTGAGACATTCTGCTACCACTATAGCCATCCACTATTGGGTTGCAGGTTCGAGACCTACATAGGGCAGTCTACAGGTACTGGCCACAGGCCGGTGGATTTTCTACAGGAACTCAGGCTTTCCTCCACCACCAAAACCTGGTAGTCCTTCAATGACCAAAGCAGTTAATAGGACGTAAAACAAAAACAAATCAATCCATACCCAGAATCATCAGAATATATTCCCTACATTGAGACACCGAGATGTTCTCGCAGTTTATACATTAACAATGGAGTAATAAGATTCATCAGATTGGAAATAGGTAATATCAAAGCTTTACTTCATACATGAACAATGTTCATATTGCAAAACATTTACGAGTTGCAACGTTTTAGGACCGACTATGAAGCTAGTATGATGGGAGACGGCGCTCGATCTATACCCTACCAGTAACCTACCCAATACAGTGTGTATACAATATCTATTTATAGGTGAAGTGTCTCAGGTTGAGTGATGGGAGACGGGGCTAGATCTTCACCCTAGCTACCAGTAACCTACCCAATACAGTGTGTATACAATATCTATTTATAGGTGAAGTGTCTCAGGTTGAGTGATGGGAGACGGGGCTAGATCTTCACCCTAGCTACCAGTAACCTACCCAATACAGTGTGTATACAATATCTATTTATAGGTGAAGTGTCTCAGGTTGAGTGATGGGAGACGGGGCTAGATCTTCACCCTAGCTACCAGTAACCTACCCAATACAGTGTGTATACAATATCTATTTATAGGTGAAGTGTCTCAGGTTGAGTGATGGGAGACGGGGCTAGATCTTCACCCTAGCTACCAGTAACCTACCCAATACAGTGTGTATACAATATCTATTTATAGGTGAAGTGTCTCGGAACCAGTGACATATAAAATTTACAACTTCGTCGCATCGTTGTACAAGTAAACAATAGAAATCGCTCACTCAGTCATAGCTTGACATTAAAGGGCCCAGTCAGTCTTGAAAGATTGCAACACATTTAATACTTAAATTGTTTGTGTATAAAATAAAACGTTGACGTAACCTATTTTCAATCCGATGAATCTAATTGAAGATATTACAATGGAGTAAATACTGATATTCATTGTGTATGTAAATTGGAACAAAAGGCCTAAAGGGCCTGTATTGCTCACCGGGAAATGTTAGCAAAATTGAAGTTCCAGACTAAAGAGGATAAAATCCCTTAATCCCTATAGTAAAAGAAGGATTTAAAAGGTTTTACCTCTATTTCCCAAATTTGGCCCCGCCCATTTGCCACCAGGGAGGCCACACCCACCATTTATACAAAATTGAATCACCTTGGCCCAAGGATGCTCCTGACTAAATAAGGATAAAATCTCCTAATCCCTATGGTAGAAGAAGAATTTTTAAAGTTTTACCTCTATTTCCCTTATTGGGCTCAGTCCCTCTGCCCCCAGGCCTAGGGGGCCACACCAACCATTTATACAAAATTGAGTCCCCTTGGCCCAATGATGCTCCAGGCTGCATTAAGATAAAATCCCTTAATCCCTGCGGTAGAAGAAGGATTTTAAAGGTTTTACCTCCATTTCCCCCCATAGGGCCCCGCCCCTCTGCCCCAAGGAGGGCCACACCCACCGTTTATACAAAATGGAGTCCCATTGGCCTAAGGATGCTCCAAACCAAAGTCAAAATCTACTCAGCCGTTGAGGACTAGTAGCGTTTTAGAGGAAAAGTTGATGAACGGACAGACGGACGACAGACAACGGACGGATAACGGACGACGGACGCTGCGGTATGGCATAAGCTCAACATGGTCCTTCGAACCAGGTCAGCTAACAAAAACTAGTTATGATGCACGCTGGTATTGGGCATCAAAATCATGAAATCACCAACAGGCTTACTAAAGAATTACATTAATTAGGTTAATTCTGATATAGCAGCATTTGACATACATGAATGTTTAATTTCTTACATCAATACCGTAAAACTGTAATATCAGATATTTTCCTGTTTTCCTATTTCAAATTTCCTATTTGCGTCGTTAATTTATTCCAGATTATGACTATAACAAGTAATTCTAAACCTCTGAGGAGGACCCTTTACACCCTTTGTCCATTCTGTTTAACTGTTAAGCTACAAAAAATAACCATAAAAATTGCCAAGGAAAAAATCTTTAATGCACATAGAAAAGGCACAGATGTAATAAACAGCTATGGGATAGCTTTAGTCACGGATATAATATACAGCTATGGGATAGCTTTAGTCACAGCTGTTATAAACAGCTACGGGATAGCTTTAGTCACAGATGTAATAAACAGCTATGGGATAGCTTTAGTGATAGCTTTAGTCACGGATGTAATAAACAGCTATGGCATAGCTTTGGTCACGGATGTAATAGACAGCTATGGGATAGCTTTGGTCATGGATGGAAAAAACAGCTACGGGATAGCTCTAGTCACAGATGTAATAAAAAGCTACGGGATAGCTTTAGTAACAGATGTAATAAACAGATACGGGATAGCTTTAGTAACAGATGTAATAAACAGCGACGGGATAGCTTTGGTCACGTATGTAATAAACAGCTACG